CCCAGTCTTCAGGTACGCTTGTTGTGCCCTCATTTATTTCAACGTAAAGCTCATCTGGCGGTCCTTCGGTTGTCTCTTCTCTTCCCGCCACGTCCTCCGCCAACTTGCCTGTAGTGGTTGGGGGATCTTGTGGTGACGCGACCGGAACTGAGTCCTCTACGTTTCCAAACCTCAACAAAGCATTTGTGGTGGGTCCTGACTATGCTCGAGTCCCGTATAAGCTGGTTTCCAAAATTACAGCAGGGCATTTTGTAGACTTGGCCGACCTACTTCCGGACAATATCCGAGCTCAAGAAAGCGAACCCCAAGCGTTTTTGGAGGGAAAACCTGGTGGTATCAGGGTCTAAAAAACGGGTCATCGAAAACGCAGACATCGTCACCTGGAAAGAAGCCTTCACAATCTTTTCTATGATTCTCTGCCACACCTTACCCTCTCGCTGGAAAGATTTAAATTAGTACAAGTTACTCATTATTCAGACAGCAAGGCGCTTTTCTGACAAATCGTGGTTCCACTACGACATCGCCTTCAGAAAAGAAGTCGCAGCCTCAGGTTCAACCGACTGGTCTCGCATGCACCCAGACCTCTACAATTTTCACACCAGATCTCCGGTTACCACTTCAGCTGCTTCAGGTTCCTCAACTTCCTCTGCCTCGTCACTAACAGAGCCTCTCGGGTCTTAAGGCAACCCCCGGTCTAGCCAGTATTGCCACTCCTGGAACAATGGGCGCTGTCGCTGGCCCTTTGGTCGCTTCCGGTTTCGTCACTCCTGTGAATCGTGCCATGGGGACCACCCCCGCATCCACTTTCCTCACCGGCCCGCAAGGAGAGAACGGTCCCGCTCCCCTTCTCAGTCAAAGGGGGTCACCGCCGCCGCTAGGCCACCTCAAGCCAATTCAACTGTAAATAGTTTTGTTTCTGTTCACGTTGGTTCTCATGGTAACTTTTCAGCGTTAAAGTTGCGTTCTCCTTTTGTTTTACCTTCTCCGCAGCAGGGTCTGCCAAGTTCCAGTTATTCGTTGTGTTCTCCATCTGTTTGTCCTTTAAGACCAGTTTCTCAGCTTACTTCCATTAATGTGGATAGATTCCAGCATGAACTCTTTCATCATCCTAACCCAGAAAAATTTGCATACGTGGTCCAAGGCCTTAGCGATGGTTTTCACCTAGGCTTCAATTACAGTACTTCCCTGAAGTCGGCAACGTGGAATATGGCGTCAGCACTCCTAAACCCTCAGGTCAACGACAGTTACAGTGCACTCGGAAGTTCAAACAGGCAGGGTGGCGGGCCCCTTCTCCCAGCCTCCCCTTCCTGTCCTCCAGGTGAGTCGTTTCGGGCGTCATCCCCAAACGCCACCAACCTGGGAAATAGCGTCTTATCCTGGACCTGTCTAGCCCTGCGGGCCACAATGTCAACGACGAAATTGTGGGCGAGGATTATTCTCTGCAGTACATGAAGGTAGATGACATTATTGCGGGCATAATGCGGCTGGGGAGGGGTTCCCTTATGGCGAAATTTGATGTGCAAAATGCATACCGTATTGTGCCAGTCCATACAGAAGATCGCCAGTTGCTGGGTATGAAATGGCGTGGTGCCTTTAATGTTGATATGGTCCTGCCTTTCGGTGTCAGGTCAGCTCCACATATCTTCAGATGTATAGCAGATTTAGTGGAGTGGGTGGCCAAGCAAAACTACGATGTCACCTTCCTGATGCATTACCTTGATGACTTCCACACTCTTGGCCCTGCCGGCTCCTCTGTCTGTCAACACAATGTCGACAGGTCAATTGACTGTTTTTCTAAGCTTGGCATTCCCCTCCATCCAGAGAAACTAGAAGGGCCATCGACGTGCCTAACCATCCTGAGCACTGAACTGGACTCTCTTAATCTGCTGGCACGCCTTCCTCAGCACAAATTTGATAGGATAACTGCCTTGTTGGAGGACTGGTCACAAAAGCGTTGGTTTAAACGCAAGGAACTGGAGTCTCTAATAGGTCACCTTCAGCATGCCTGCAAGGTCGTACCCCAAGGTCGCTCATTCTTTCGCCGAATGATCAACCTGCTATGTGCCTTTCGAGGCGATGACCAGCCGATTCGTCTCCATCAAGAGTTCTTTCTTGACCTAGCCAAGTGCATGGCAAGAGTTTTTCCAGTCTTGGAATGGTTGCAGCTTCCTTCAGTACCCCCAGTGGGCTCCACTTCCCGACTTCGAGGTTTCTTCAGATGCCTCTGGGGCTCTTGGTTACGGACCAGTCTCCCAGGGTCACTGGTTTTCTGGTGCATGGCTCCCAACACAGCTCTCTCCGTCTATCGAGTACAAGGAACTTTTCCCTATCGTCGTGGCAGCTTACCTCTGGGGTCCCTAGTGGGCCTCCAAACGGGTCAACGTCCTGTCAGATAACACTTCAAGAGCCCCTACCATCATGTCCTAGGTTCGCTATCTGTCCCTGTTGGCAGCTCGTCACTCCTTCTCGTTCACTGCCTCCCCAGTTAGAGGGAAGTCTAACCCCATTGCTGACTCCCTGTCTCGCTTTCAGTCTCAGCGCTTTCGCCGCCTAGCCCCTCATGCAGACTCCATTCCAACCCAGATTCCGCAGCAGCTCCTCTCGGACTTGGAACTTCGCCGTCAGATAAATGCCACTTCTATTTGACTCAGGGTCTTGCCCCTTCTAATAGGAAAATTTATGCTTCGGCCCAACGCCGCTTCTTGGATTTCTGTGTTCAGGACAATAGCCTATCTCCTTCGGGATCAGCTCTTCCAGCCAGTGAAGACATGCTCATCCTTTTCTGCTGTCATTTTGCTGATACTCTCCACCATTCATCCATACAGGTTTACCTTTCAGCAATCCGGTCCCTTCACATTGAGGACGGTCATCCTTCTTCGCTGGTTGGTTGACTTCGGTTACAGCATGAGTTGCGGGGTATCAAACGTCACCAAGGCTCAAACAGGCGTCAGCGCCAACCCATCACAATCGAGCTGATGCACATTATCTTCCAGTCCTTGAATTTCTCTGACTACAACCATACAATGCTGTGGGCTGCCTGCTGTCTCGGGTTTTATGGTTTCTTACGCGCTGGTGAGTTCACTGTCAACTCCCCCCTCAATCCTGACATCCACCTTGCTGTCAGTGATGTCCAAGCAGATTCCCTAGTCAATCCAAGCAGCTTCAGGATTCATATTAAGTGCTCTAAGACAGACCCCTTTCTCCAAGGTTGCCATATTTACATTGGTGCTGGTAAACGTGATCTCTGCCTTGTACGCGCCCTTAGCCAGTATCTACACGTCCGTGGCTCAACTCCTGGCACACTCTTCCTTCTCTCTGATGGCACCCCTCTACATCGCCAATGGCTGACATCCAATATTCAATCTGTCTTCTCCGCCGCTGGGGTCCCTGGTTGCTACACCGGTCATAGTTTCCGCATTGGCGCTGCTACTTCAGCAGCCTCTCGTGGCTTACCAGATCACCTCATCAAGACACTTGGCAGATGGTCCAGCGATGCGTATCAGATCTATATTCACACTCCCGTTAGTACTATCGTGGGGGTAGCAAGCCTTCTCACTTGACAGGTATTTCTTGTGTATCTTTCTCTTTTCCTAATTGTCCTTGTGGGGTGCCTCGGGACTTGGGTAGTTCGGGGCCAGTGCTTCCCCCAGCCCTGAGCCCCTCTTTCCCTCTCCGATCTGGCTGCGTCAGCTCGGAGAGTCCCTTCGGCTTGGAATAGGGGCTCATGGCTGGGTTGCGGGGATTTGCCAGCCATGGGAGCAGTTTTCTATCTAGGGGCTGGCTGGCCACAGTGGAACCCCTGGGTATCCCAGGCACCCACCTTCCACTAAAGCGAGGCAGTTGGTTAAATTTGATTAAATTTAATTTAACCAACTAGCGGTCAGGCGGTCCACAAGCTTAGGGGTCAAGCGGTTCATAAGTTTAGCGGTCAAGCGGTTCACAAGCTTAGCAGTTAAACGGTCCACAAGTTAAGCGGTCAAGTGGTACACAAGTTTAGCGGTCAAGCGGCCAACGAGCTTAGCAGGAAACCAGCGGCCAATCCCATAAGTGCAGGCTCACATGGTTTGTGGTAGCTTTGTACACGGCTAGGATCTGCGAGTTCTTCGTAGAGCGTTTGTGCAGTGGTCTGTGGAGCGGTTTATTTAGCGTCTCCCCCCCTCCCATCCCTATTTTTCTTCCTTCCACTGTTTCATCAGTGTGACGGGTGCCTGGAATGGGGGCTCATGGCTGGGTTGCGGGGATTTGCCAGCCATGGGGGCAGTTTTCTATCTAGGGGCTGGCTAGCCACCATGGAAGCCCCTGGGTATCCCAGGCACCCACCTTCCACTTAAGCGAGGCAGTTGGTTAACTTGTTTTGTGTTGTCGTTTTTTTTATGGCGGAGTGATGGGGTGTGGTGAACAGGTGACCAACTGGCATTACTTTATTCAGTCTTCATTTGCTCTTCATTCACTTGATTTTGAGTTATCCTGTATAAGTCTTAGCGTTTCTTTGGACTCTTTATTGTATTATCTATTCTTGCGTCAGTCTTCAATCACCATGTCCGAAGGTCCACTCATCTCCTGTTCATGATTTCCTGATGCACTTTTCATAGTCCGGAAGGCTTCGCCCGAAACACTACTAGCAGAGCTTGGAGGAAGTGATTGACTAGTCATAAGCTTCATGGGTGGGGAGGCTGAGTACTCAGTACAGGTACCTTGTAACAGTAAAGAGTCAGGTCCGTAATCTGACTGTCTGTCACTAAAAATTTATCGACGTTCGCTTGAGCAACTTGTTTTTCTGAGTAAGTTTTGATTTCATTGAGCTTAAGTAATTTGTAATTATAACTTTTCAAAAGAGATTGAGCGGTTTTCTATTTAATAAAGGGAACTTATCCAGTAATTTGCACTGACACCTAAATCTGTGGAAAATTGTATATATTCCATTTACATCTGTAACTCAATGCGATATTCTAATTCCATGGTCTAATTCCTGTGAATTTCATGGAACTCCATGAAGATCAATGGAATTGGATGCAGTAGTTTCCATGGAATTTCACGGAACTTTTCCATTGAATTCCATTGAAATTGATGTCCTTATCCCCCATGGAATGCCATGGAAATCTTTTCCACGGAAATCGATGGAATTCCATGGAGGTATTTCTTACGGTATGTACCAGGGGCACCCAACGACAATTTTCGGAAAATATCTGTTCGGAAGACGATTTGATATCTAGAAATTTCTTGTTTACCTGCCTCTCTTAGGATTTTCGAACATCTAAAAAATGGTATAATTGCATATGTTTAAAGGATTTTTACCTTAAAAAGGTCACCTAGAATTTTCGGGAGCCTTTTTTCTGGCTGGAATTTTCGAACAGTTTTGATCCCTATAATTTTCGGATCACAAGACTTTCAGCTAGGAAATCCGAACAGTTGAAAAATTTTTAGGGGATAAAAATATGCCTATATCTACCGTTTAAATACTAAAATACGTTTAACAATGCTATGTTTAAGTGGTTTTGAACTATATTCTCGTTGGGTGCCCCTGATGTACCAAGTTATTTAAAGGGGCTATGTCACGCTATTTTCTACCTTTTTAAAAAGCCAAAGCGTGTTTTCGAATTAATTGAATTCCAAGAATAAGACTATATTTAGGCATTAAAACCGTTTCCTGTCGCCTGTTAATATGGATGGCAAGGATGATTGAAACTTGAAAAAATGGCCAGCCTTTTCAATGCAAAAAATTACCAAAAAATAATTATGGCTAGTGCTGTCTAATAAATTTTGTTTGGGACCTTCTCCATAAATCTAAAGGAGTATTTTGTATAAGTGTATAGACACTAAGTAATGACTTCAGCACGTATTATTCCTAAAAAGAGCACTATCTTCGAGACAAACCCCCTTTAAAACCAGGATAAATTGACTACTATTTGATTGAAACGACCGATCACTGTTGTGGGAAGTCAAATCTCTTTCTTTTTTCCACGAGCTTGACGTGGCGAGTGTTTCACCTTTTCCAAAACGAAACTTGTTATTATTCTCTTGTCTTAAAGTGTCAGCGTGTCCAAATATGGCAATCCTGACAGGGACTACAGGCATCATCACAAGTCCTTCTTACCCGGGAAATTATGGTAATAACCACAATTGCAAATGGAAAATCATGGCAAGTACAGGAAATCGCGTCAAGTTGGTCATTCAAGACATGGACATAGAAAGTGGGGTTAACTGTCCCTTCGACTATATACAAATTCAAAATGCTGTCATATATGGTAGTGGTGTGCTTCCTGGGCGTTTATGTGGTTCACTCACCAGCAATTCGACTTTTTCTTCTTACAACGAAACCTTGATTGTACGTTTTGTTACTGATGGTTCGGTAACACGCCGTGGATTTATAGCAAGATACACTGTTATTCCTGGTAAGTAGGAATAGTTATGTTTTGCAGTGCTTTGCGCTTTATCCAGTATAGTATGTTGCGCGGTATCTCGGCACAATCGCTTGTAAACACTAAAAATTTTTGTTTGAGCATAGACGATTTCTGAATTTTGTCCTCAAAGATAGTCCTTTATATTTCTCTTGAAAGGTTTCCACTTTGCTCAATTAAGCATACTTAAAATCAGGGACATAGCCAGCCATTTTTTCCATTTAAGCCCGATTTGAAGAGGTCCTGAGAAAGCGAGGGAGGAGAGATTCATTCATTCATTCAGTCGTTCGTTCGTTCGTTCGTCCCTCCATCCCTCCCTCCCTCCGTCCATCCATCCATCCATCCATCCATTCATTCAGAGAGTTGTAAAACTTTGGAACTTGAATGTAAACGGTGCTGGTATTGGTTCTGTATGGCGATAAAAAAAAAAAAGATTGAGCACTCCTAGTATTATGTATTTGGTTGTTCATTGAAAAAACGTTATTGAATTTTGAAAAGAGTGAAAACATAAAACGGTCTAATTAAAACAAATGGATTTCTTGACATTTCAAGAGCTTTTGCTTCTTGAAGATCGAGTCAGTATGGGCTTCGTACCTAGATTTTCTTACTTATTGCCTATGATGTGTTGAGGACTTAGTAAAAAGCCAAGTTATCGCCTTAGCCATACAAAGTTTTCAGAGGGAACATGAAGAACAGCGGGCTATCTTTGCTCAAAAATGTTGTGTCAAAAGAGTAATTAGCAGTGATTAGTCAACGAACGGGTTCTTTTAGTTAATAAATAATAACCGTGTCACAGTCACACCTTGATAAACAGTTTTTGAATTCTTTATAAAGAACTCTGTTACACTCAAGTACATCTCCTAAGGTCAATAGGGACGTGAGTGTCTCTTAAGCACTGCATGTCTCGCTAGTGTGTACTAGAACTAGGGATTCCATCAATATCGACGATCGTGCGTATATATTATTATATCTCAAAAAACCGAGTACTCAGAGAGTAAAATGGCAACTTTCTCAGGTCTTTGTAAGGTCTTCAGCTGTTTCGTCCTTTGTATCTGCTGAGGAAGAGATTCTAATTTGTCACAGAAGAGGGATGAGAGGCAGCCCCGTTCAGTTTAGATTTAGCGAGAATACGGCTCTTCCGACTATGAAATTTGAGTTACTCTGTTTGCAAAATAGAATTGCAGAGCGAAGCTAGTTCTTAAAGGGACACAGTCAGCTGATGCAGATGCGCATTAGATGCCATTTCTTAGCTGATTTGCATGTTAGAAGACGCGCATGAAACAGAAGTGAGAAGCGTATCCGGAACACTCTAAGCAAACCTTGTAGAGTTGAACTAGTTACAAGCCGAAATCGTGATTATAGACCCTAAGCCATATCATGGCATTCATTTTTTTATATATATAGTTGAACTAGTTACAAGCCGAAATCGTGATTATAGACCCTAAGCCATATCATGGCATTCATTTTTTTATATATATAGTTGAACTAGTTACAAGCCGAAATCGTGATTATAGACCCTAAGCCATATCATAGCACTCATTTTTATATATATATACCATTGAGAATTCACAGATGGATTTGTCCAGACATCGAAGAATACTTCGAACGTTAGTGGAGGTGAGAAATTACGCGAAGTCTGAATCATTGTCGAAGGTTCAAGGCCGAGAAAGATTGATTTTCCACGTACACGTAACTACTTACATCGATTTTCCAAATATATAAAATGATTATTTGCTCGCCAGTGTATTTGATTCATTTCTCTTGTTATTTTGGTAAACGAAGGCGATTCCTCCTACCCGGCGCCTACGCGTGTTCATGTTCCTTTGGATACTATTTTTAACCAAATATGGTAAAATATTGTAAAAGGATGAGTAAAAAAAGAGGTTTTCAGTAAAAGATCGAGGATCGAATAAAACAGTAGGCAAGACTGAGCGGATTTGTAGATGTATCCGACGCGTACATTTAATTTCAGGTTGAGATAAACGCTTTTCAAACTTGCAAAACTAGTGTCCAGGTCAGCGCGGTCCCATAGCTGACTGTGTCCCTGTAAGTCGATTTTCAAGTAAAGCAAACTAAAGTAACGAACCATCTAAATGGAATATTTCGTTCGAAATTGCGTTTTACATCGATCAATGCAGAGTAAACATAGTTACCTAGAGCATGAAATGAAATATTTTTTAAAGTTATTGGCTAAGGAGCCAAAAAAGGTGATGGCAATGTGAACACACCCGTTTTTTCAAGTACCCACGCTGGAATTCGGGCACGGTGCTGGTGCCCGAGTACAATTAAGGACGACCTCGGGTACAAATTAGGCACCGGTAAAAAAATTGTAACTTGACATTTCTTTACCCACGGAGCATTTAGGAGTTCTCAAGAAGTCGTCCAAACGTGTCCGTGTGTTCCAGATCGAAATGGAATTTGGAAGTGTTTATTTTTGAGAAGAGGGAAAACCGACATACACGGAGAAAAACCTCTCGGAGCAAGGACGAGAACCAACAACAAACTCAACCAACATACATGTATGGCGTCGACGCTAGGATTTGAACCCGGACCACATTGGTAGGAGGCGAGTGCTCTCACCACTGCGCCACTCCGCATTTTTGTTAGTTCTGGGGCAGTCCACTGCTTTTTGAGCCGCTGTTACTTAAAAGTCATTAAAATATATTTGCCTGACTCTTAAAATGACGGAGGTGAAACAAATATTGCAAACAAATTTGTCACTCTGACGTCATTTTTCCCTCTATAGCAGTCCCAGTGAAAATCTACCCAGTGGCTCGATTCAGTCTGTTCAGTGATAATTTATTCTCCCCGATACCTGGCGAATAGTTTTTTTTACTCGAATACAATGATTTTTTGCTTTCCCGTTCACTTTCTATTGTGGCTTATACAAAATCCGAGTGTATTTCGTTATTCATATTTGTTTGAAAGGAGCAAAAATATAAAACGTAATCACCATTGACAAAATCAGGTTTTCAAGGGTTTCATACCGGTAGAGATGTAAGGCCTGTTACTCATTTTAGCTTTTATGAGAGATACACAACTAAGAAGAAAAACCCAGTGCAAAATAGACCAGCCCGGTGACGTTTTCTCCGGTAAACCAGTAAAGATATAGATTTCACTGGTCACGTTGAAGAATGATGTTCATGATCATTAGCCGATATAATAGCGATCATTATAACCTCTTTCTGTTTATATGGAACCGAAGAGAATTTTTGTTTTTAATAACATGTTAAGCATCAAAAGTTAGTTTGTGAGTTTTTGTTTTAAACATTGATTTTCTGACTTCCATTTGCAGTTGTCAACCCTGAAGCATGTTTCTTTGCTGTTAACGGATCCAGTGGGTTCATCAGTTTTGGCAGTGCAACCAACAAATTCACGCATTGTACGTGGATCATAACAGCACCATCCAACCACACCGTCAAACTGACGACATTTCGTCTATTTGGTTCTCCCTATGATAAACCAGAGATCCAAGTTTACGACGGAAAAATGAAAAATGATACCGTACTGGGAGCTTTTACTATTATACAGCCCTTTATCATACAAACAAGTGGTCGATTCATGATGTTGACTTTAAAAAAGAAGTTTTGGTATTCCTCTTGTATCTTTAAAGGAGCATATGACACGAGTTCAAGAAAAGGTTAGCGATATTAAGTTATCAAAACAACAGAATATGAACTGCATAAGAATGCTAATTAGCTCCTCACTAAAATATATTCTTGGGGGCGGGGGGGGGGGCAACCGATTCGGAATAATGGATGCGTCTTAAAGGCTTTGAAAGTTTTTCAATTGATCCACGAGTAAATTTATACAACTGTATTCTAAATGGTCTACTAATTGTGAGCCTAACACGGTTCTGTACTAAACTAATTATCTCTAAGTGCCAAGAGCAAAGATTTTAGAAATGTCATGAATTACCGTAATTTACGAAAAATAGTTTGAATTCAATGCTACGGTGGCTCATAAGGACAAAACACTTCCCAGAATCCAAAACACGTCCTAGAATCCACAAACACTTCCCAGAATCCAAGACAGGTCCCAGAATCCAAAACACATCCCAGAATCTGGATTCTGGAAAGTGTTTTTGAATTCTGGGAAGTTTTTTTGGATTCTGGGAAGTGTTTCGGAATCTGGGAAGTGTTTTGTCCTTTCGAGCCACCGTACAATGCGATTGCATAAGCGAAAACTACCTTGAAAATAGTGAACTAAACTGTTGTACTGAGAAAAGAATTTGAAATACCGACTTTACATTCGGTTATTGAAGTTCGTGTTTTTGTCCGATGTTGAGTTTAGGTCATTTTGCGTAAAATTTAGTGGTCTTAAGGTACGGATAAAAAAAAACGAGCAAAAAAAAAAAATATGCAACTTGTTTTGCAATATTACTGCAAAACGAGTTGCGTGGCCATGTTCCGCGTTTTACCACCCATATCAAACCAGTCCTGCAACAAATAAGGTTGTTAACAGGTTTGAACGACGGTGGTAAAACGCACAACATCGCTTTTCAACTCGTTTTGCACCAATGTTGCATAACAAGTTGCATGTTTTTTCAGGCCCGTTTTACCGAAGCTTTATAAGCGAACTAAGACTCCCCGAAAAATCACATTAAAGTCCGCGAATATTCAACGTACAGATTTATATTTGGTCTCTTTAAAGCTTAGCAAGTCTACTTTTCAGAAAAAAAAAGAGATTTATGGTGCGCCAATGAAGCCTTCCGAAATATTTTGCTTCAAAGACACAATAAATTTTGCGGCGTTATTATTTTTTCTTAGCGGCAAGCAATAGGAATCCCAGAGGGCAAATGCGACAGCTATACACGTATGATGCAAAGGATGTTAATGAATCCACGATTGGTTGAAGATGGGAAGGGCACAGAACTCACAAACAAGCACACGGCTCGTAGATTCTCTGTTCTGTATCACGTGTTCGCTCGAAAACAATGCATTCTCTTATCTGCATTACGTCATAAAAGTTACCTTACACAACTATATGTTACAGTCGAACCTCTCTAATACGGACACCGAAGGGACAGAGCGAAGTGTCCGTATTAGAGAGGTGTCCGTATAAAAGAGGTTATGATGATGTCACTTTTTTGACTCCACTTACAGTTTTAAGTGTTCAGTAGCTGAAACCAGCCTTACACTCGCCTTCAAACTGCATTTAAGTCTATTAATTCACAGTACAAAAAACACTTTCAGTAGCAGACAACATTGTACATATCAGCTACATACGTACATTCGTAGAAAAATCACTGTTTTAAGATGAAACGAGCTACAGCGCAATGCTGCATGTAAAAAGTTTTAACGTAAAGCACAATTCTGAAAGTGTCTTTCGCTATTTTGCAAGTGCAGTTAACAGTAACTGGAGTACAAAATGTAATAGAAAAGATCTAAATGCTATCTGTAGTTATTCAAGCCTTCAAAAAGTCGGTTATGTTCATCTGTACACATTTTGCAAATTAATTGTTTGGTATAAAGCGACTGGGCTTTTGAGGCCACCTTGCATAGCTCATCAGCCAGACTGGACGAGATTTACTCTGTGCAGATTCACCTGATCGCCGGAGTGTCCGAAATAGAGAGGTTACTTTTATGTGAATTTACTCTCTGGGGCCGAGATTTAGTGGCCGTTGTCAGTATTAGAGAGAGTCCGTATTATAGAGGGTTTTTTTAAAGAAAATATATGAGAATTTTGTGGGGACATTGAAAACTGTCCGTAATATAGAGGTGTCCGTCTTAGAGAGGTGTCCGTACCGAGAGGTTCGACTGTACATGGATTACAGATTCAATCTGCCTTTTGAACGTTCGCGCACGGCTTTAAAAGGCTGCCGACTGCCGCCTAGCAGCCTCGAGAAGACGCGAGGCTGCTCGTTGGCAATAATCGGGAAAGCCTAGGGAAGAAAAGTTAAACGGGGAAATATTTTACAGAACTGTCATCGACGAATGAATAAATCAATAAATAAGTAAGAAGATAAACATTCTAAGGAAACATTTAATGGAATTAAACATGGCGACCTAGTTTTCTCTCAAGTCTAAACTACTCCTTTTATACATTTTATTTTACTTAACCTCATTGAGGCTTTACAAACACAATAATTGAAATTCAATTACATGAAAAGATAATTCATTATAATGGAAAACCTACTTTGAGGACACTAAAATATTTACAATAGTATGGCCTATTTAAATTAATTTAAAAACTTACTTAAAACTCTGAGAAAAATATTTGCACTAAAATTTAATTGACACGATAAAATACTTAAGAATCTTCTTCAGATCGAACTTGAAACTAGACACTGACTCATGAGTTTTAAGATAGCTATCCATGGAGTTCCAGATACTGACTATTCTATTTTAAAACGTCCTCTGACCACTAACAGTCTTGAAAAGTCGAATGTTCGATATCTTTAAACTTCTCCTGGCACGCCCGCTTATTTCTCCTCGTTTTCCGTGGAAGCAAGTCGTATAGGGGTCGTTTAGCCATCTTGAATAACCATTTTTCGTGCGCCGAGCGCCTGTCTATTTTACAATTTTTAATTTTTAAAACTAAACTAGTGAGCAAAGTATTCTTACGCCTTGCGTAAAAAATTTCACAGCTGCGCCTGTTCCTTTTCGTAAATCCGGCCAAACCTTCAATGTTTGCGAGCATCATTATTTTTAGTCATATTATGGCTTAAATACAGGCGTTTAGTATTTGATTGTAAAACTCCCTGAGGAAGTCTACGTTAGTTAGACGAAACGCGTAGGAGAATAAACAAGTTTTACAGCAACAGTTCGCAGAGTGCTGCTCACTAGTTTAGTTTTAAAAATTTTAAAAATTTTTAAAAATTAAAAAAAAAAATTAAAAATTAAAAACTGGAAGGCAAGGTTTTCCGGCTCACGGGATGTTAGGCATTTAAAGGCCATATTAAAGAGCGTTTTTAAAGTAAAAGTGAGTTGCTACTAGTAGCCATTTATGCTCTTCTAAAACTGGTGTGATGTGATCATATTTGCGCGTACGTACTGGTCGCAATTGGAGCAGCAAAGTCTTGAATACTTTTTAACTTACTGATACCACTTGCGCCCAATACGTTCGAACAATAAAAACGTTTACTAAAAACTAAAGCATTTATGATATACAGGCTGTTGGTTCTGACAGGTCGACTTTCCTTATGTTTGCGGATGACTTACCTTTAAATGCTTTGGTTAAGGGAACCAAGGACCAAACTCCCCGAGAAGTGAAAAACATATTTAGTTGGGCCCAAAACAACCTTATAACTATAAACCTTACTAAAGAGTAACGTTGAAAAACATCTCCTCACTATTACTTTGGATATTAAGCAGGAAGTATTTCTCAACCTTTTAGACGTTTAGTTTCATAGTAATGCTACAATCTGGGACAAGCAAATCGATTTTCTTCTCGGCAAAGCAGGAAGGCGTATGCACATATTATGAGTGTGCACGAAGTATGGCTATAGTCTGGACTCTTCGTTTACAACACCTCTTCCATAGTCTGATTATACCTCTTTTTACCCATTGCATTTCAGTATGGAGTGTTGCAAGTTATGAAAAGTATCTTTCTAAAATTGATAAGTTTAAGAAGAGAACAGTTCGTTTTGGCTTTCTTAAGGAGGCCACGCTCATTTTATAAGCGCCTGTCCGTAAAAATCAAACATATCGCGGCAAGGGTGGAAAATTCGATTTCTTTCAAAGTTCAATGTTAGATAGGCTAGAGTATAACTATAATCACTGTATGTTGTTTTTTGGTGAAATATCCTTTTATTTCAGAGATAAATACAAATATCCAAAATCCGTTGAAATCGCCATTTGAGGCGATCAATTTTAATTTACATGGGTTTGAAAGCCTCGCGTGCAAAAACCGATTCCTCTACCGTCTTTTAAACATTACAGCCTTCTTTTACAACTTCTAAATATCTGCTAAAATGAATTGAGGAGATAGTGCTCTGCTCTTTGTATACAAAATAGTTTAATTTCGAAGGCATACAATTTACTTCAGTAAAAGTAATGCGTGAAAAAACATAATTTTCACCATGTGTGAAACCTTCAAATCGATTAAGCTGCAGGTGGTTGAATGTTAGAAGGATGGTCTAGTGATTCCTGTAAAAATTTCTTTGGGCAAATGATTAATAGCGACGCGAGAGCTTTACAAAATCTGTGAAAAAGGCAAATATTTGACCTTCCGCGGTCAACTTTGAAGTTGCCGGAGTCGGAAATAAAATTTAGTGCCTTCACTTGTCTAAACCCACATTAAGTTAAAATAAGCAGAAATGTTCTTACCTTATTATGAGCAGTTAAGGACCGGTCCAAAGATCATTTTAGTACGATTTTCTGGTCGTTCGTCGCTTGACTTCTGGTTTATAACGTCTGCAATTTAAACCTCACACCCGACACACCGCGTCAACTTTCGACGTCTTCAAAGGTCGAATACCAATCTTTGATCAGTTTCGCGTGTCTGATTTGCGAACAGGGTTTTTTAAAAATGAAAAAGAAGAAAGAATCCTTGTTGCAGGCGCGAATCAAAAGGGATATGCTACTAGTTGCGAGCTGTTGTACACGGATTTTTGTGAGCGTAATCAGTTCTTGTTTTGTTTAAAAAGGTTATCAAAGTTTTTTTGTACAGATGCCTCGAGACATGTGCCTTTTATTCGTTAAAACAGTGGTTGTTATAATCAAGAGTACCGTAGTCCCATTAAACATTTTACATAAGTGTTTAGTGATTGCGTGAATAGCGCACACTGCAAAAGATCGTGACGTCACAGCTACTGTAAACCGCTGATTTAGCAACAGAACGGGAACGTCAGTTGACGACGGGAAAGGGCACGGAAAGGATTAAACGCGACTTTTGTTGCCAATTTGCCGCTCCGCCATTGGTCAAGCCAGTTGTTTGATTTGCGCGCGCCGTCGTCAACTGACGTTCCTGTTCTGTTGCTGAATCAGCCCCAGCAGATAACACCCGTGCTCTGATTGACCAAGAGTTGTGTTTGCAAGGGGGTTTGTAGTAATGACGTCGCGATCTTTTGCGGCTCGCGCGCTATTTACGCGCAATCACTTCTCTCTTTATCTTCAAGATTTTCCTCGTCATCAATAAACAGATCCTCCCATTCCTCTTGTATCGCTACTATTTAAGAAAGTCATGAGGAGGAGAGGGGGCGCTTATTCGATAGGGGCGCTTGTTTGATATAATGGCCAGTGGGTTGAGCGCTTATTCGGGGACGGGTGCTTATTAAGGCGTGGACAATTATCGAGGAAATACTGTACACAGATATGTAACAGGTTAAATCCAAAAAAGTGGAAATGAACGCACCAGACAGACCAGCAAACGCGTTAAGATGCATTTAGTCAAAATAGAAATATCGTTTATGAAAGGAAAAGTTAATAAGTGCCTCCCTTATTAAGCGCCCTCTTTCTGTTAGCACCTCTCCTTTTAGCCAAGCTGGGGCGCTTGTTCGAGGAAATACGGAATTTACATAGCTTGCAAAATATAGCGAAATTTTAAAGAGCTGCCTCGTAACCCCACCACTACTATGATTCTAAGAGACAGGGTCGGCCAAGGGGGTAGTGGAATAATACCGTAGAATTCTGAAAATAAGCCCCTCTAAATATAAGCCCCCCAAACCGGTAACGCAAAAGACCCTCCGTTGAATCGCCCCTCCAAATATAAGCCCCCCAGGGGCTTGTACTTGGAAAATTGCCCTCAAATACAACGTAAAACAAAGCAAGAACGGTCAATTTACTTCCAACTATAAGGCTAGCCCTATCGATTTTGAAACGCAAATTCCCCTACATAGATAAGTCCCTCCGAATACAAGCCCCTCCAAAAATAAGCCCGTCAAAAAGGGCCTTTGAAAAATATAAGCCCCGGGGCTTATTTTCGGAATTTTACGGTATAGAGATTTAGCCAAGGCTAAAAGCGAAGCTTCCATTAATAAATTTATAATTTAAATCAAACAATAAACTTGTAATCCACAAATCAGTTAACTTAAGGTCACATTCATGTGACTTTTGAGGGAAAGGCGAAGTGATTTTAGATTAAAACATCTTACATGGAGTTGATAGCTTTATATCACTACGAGTGTACACCCAAAATATAGCAATCATTTTCGATCACATTCAAGAGCCGTAATGGCTCTTGATCACAGTAGATTAGGCGTGGAAAATAAATTCTTGAAAAACAAATCAGGCCGAATTTTTTGCGTTCGACATGTTTACTTCACAAAATCGTGCCAACAAATCTTTATACTTTTTATACATCACATCTGAGGTGAAACAGTACTATGAGGCGCTGTATTTATCATACAAACCTCGGAAAGAATGCAACATCTCACAATTATTCAAGACAAATTGCACTCATTCAATATTCAGGACGATCAATGGTGGGCTTTTTGCGAAACCGTTCAAAAAATTTCCAAAATCACCCAGTATACGGCCAGCCGGTTCTCCCTTTTGACAAGCGCCAAATTTGCAGCAGTGCGAGAGGTAGTAGGGTGTTTGAATGGACATCAACAGAGTTACGCTTCAACACAATAAAGAATTCATTATGTTTATTTTTTATTCAGTGATTTTTTAACGATGTGTAATCTTAAAAAGCGTTTGATACGCGCGGCTTACTCCTGCAAGCAATGTTCATGAACGACTGAAAACAAACGGAACACGGATTAAAATTTCAAGAGAGACTACTAACAATCAATAAAAGAAAAATAATTCGGTGAAACATTTACAGATCTTTACAGAGACAACAATTTTCATTCACGAAGTAATTAAAGTGTCTAAAAATCCTGAGTCTTTAAGCTTAAAACGTTTTTGTTTTAAGCCGGCTTCCCGGTGTTTGCTTTTTTCAAAGATGAACTCGTGGCAAGAAATCGCTCGAAGCTTTCTTTCTACAGCCAAATTTATAACGAGATATTCTTCGGAACGTTTCCCTTCTATTTATGGTGAGAAAATATATCTAAACACGTTATAAGTTCTGTAAGCCTATATCAAACCTGATATAGGTCAGAATCGCTTGAGACTTTTTAACCCTCCTACGCATCAAGCAAGGTAAAAAACAAAAACGATGCCATCTGAAAGCGACGCATTTCTCAACCAAAAACCCAATAAACAAACAAGCCATAAACAGAAGACTCTTCATAGCAACTATATTTCATTTTGTGCATCCAGTAGAAAAGACAGTTAAAAACATCACAAGTTGACACAAAACTCTGACAGCCCCAGCTGTCAAAGTAAACAAGTTTCAAGATGCTGCATAAATTACCCGCATAAACTCACCTGTCAAATTTTCCGACAAAGCGGCAAAGCAGATTTCGGGAGCTTTCTACTGACGAAACAAGAGAAGAAACCAGAAAATGCCATACCGGCAGCAACATAAAACTGCAAACTTTGGTTTTAAATTATTTAATGGTACTCCGAAGTTTCCTTACAAATTTAAAGAAATTATAAGCTTAATTCTTCCGTACGTCGAGCTGATTATGTAACAACAACAACAACAACAACAAAGTTTACCTTAAAAATTTTCAGAATGGCTTGCAAGTCCTTGCAGGAATAAGTTTCTAAAACCATTAGCAGATTTTTTGCGTGTTTGAGGAGCTTTTACACCTCTTAACACTTTCGCAAGTCCATAACGGACCATAACGGGCCTCAAGTGGATTCTAACAACGAGCGACTTTCCATTGAACAACAACAACAACAAATTGATTGATAAAGCTGGGTCTTTGTGCAGCTCCGATTCAGTGGAGGAAGAAAACGAAATTGAAGAGCGATCTGGTCAACCTATCCAGCGTTAAATTCCGCAGTCACAGCGACGGAAAGCGAAAACAGTACTTGTGGAGAATAATTCAAGCATAGCGTCCTTCCCTTTCAGATTTTTCATTCAACTAAAATCGCAAACGGCGCACTTGTCATAAGATTTTCCCTTGGTTTACCTGAAGTTACTTTAATATCCGGTCGTTTTGTAATATTTAAAATGAAATTTACTAAAATTCAGTTGTAATAACCAGACGTTTGGAGTTTACAAAAATTTAATAAAACCTTTATTCCATTCGTGCTTGTTGGATATAAGACAGTTATAACCAACTTGGCGCCACGCGCCTATGGGGCTCAGTCCACGCGCGCTCGTAGAGCTCCGCTACAAAAATCCCCGAAATAACTGCCTTGCAATATACCAAAAACTATACTAAAAATGGTGTAAAATACCAAAATTAAGAAAACCACGGTATGCTTTATACCCAAAATTAATTGTGATTGAATACTTTACACCCAATTTCAAGCATAAAAATATTGTATACCTGAAATTAAACACCCCAATTTATTATATACATACTGAGAAATACTCACCAAAAAGCTATGTCGTAAATTTTTGGTACGCAAATTAGTTCTAGCCAATCAGAGGATGATACATCCAATCAGAAGCCACAGAGGTGTGTGAGTTACGCGCCAAAATTCCCGCCTTTTATTGCAGCTTGCAGCGCCGCTTCGCACACATTCAACGAGAAAAGTTTCACTCAAAGAGTTTTTCTCGCTTAAAAAGTGGAAAACAATTCGGAAATGGAGTGGAATAGTTTCGTTTGTTTCATTGTCGATAAAGAAAACGGTAGAGAGCTGGCGAAACAACAGCGGAAAGGGATAAACAGAACGAGACGTAAGCTTTTGTTGTGCTTTTTGTCGGAGCTACTTTGCCTTTCATTTAAGCTTAAGCTTATATTGAAACCGGCCATTTTACTTAAATTCACTCATTTTCAATTGTGCATTGAGAACAAACAATTAAGATTAATTGTAGTTCTTGGATTACCTCATATCCTTACGTCATTTATGTTTTTAACAAACGTTTTTACTAAAAAGCTGATACTTCGTTTTCGTTGTCATTTTGCGGTAACTGTGTAGCGGCAAATTTTAGCATTTTTGAAAGATTTAAAATAAAAAGGCCGCCAAAATGATGAATGTCTCAGTATGTATATAATAAACACAATACCACATGGAAAGTGCTTTGTACGGTATTTACACACTCGTTTGTTTTGTATCAGAAATCTTACTCGTTCGATTTCTGATACGTCAACAACTCGTGCGTAAATACTGTACGCCAGCACTTTCCATGAGGTATTCTCTATATACTGCATACGCAAAACCCATGGTCGGCCCTGAAGGGAATTAAGGGTTGGGAAATGACCTTAATGCTAGACGTCCCTAGACTGTGACTGCATGCTTATGTTAGAGTTTGTTCTACAGAATTGCAGCTGCAGCCTTGTGCGAAATTCTTCAACAGCTTCAAGTACGGCTTCTTTCGCCAGGTTGTGGTACTGATAACGGTCCTGATACCGTTTAATAAAATCACCAAGTCCGGGAGCTGACAACCAAAGTTGTGAATAAACAAAATAACCNAAACCGGCCATTTTACTTAAATTCACTCATTTTCAATTGTGCATTGAGAACAAACAATTAAGATTAATTGTAGTTCTTGGATTACCTCATATCCTTACGTCATTTATGTTTTTAACAAACGTTTTTACTAAAAAGCTGATACTTCGTTTTCGTTGTCATTTTGCGGTAACTGTGTAGCGGCAAATTTTAGCATTTTTGAAAGATTTAAAATAAAAAGGCCGCCAAAATGATGAATGTCTCAGTATGTATATAATAAACACAATACCACATGGAAAGTGCTTTGTACGGTATTTACACACTCGTTTGTTTTGTATCAGAAATCTTACTCGTTCGATTTCTGATACGTCAACAACTCGTGCGTAAATACTGTACGCCAGCACTTTCCATGAGGTATTCTCTATATACTGCATACGCAAAACCCATGGTCGGCCCTGAAGGGAATTAAGGGTTGGGAAATGACCTTAATGCTAGACGTCCCTAGACTGTGACTGCATGCTTATGTTAGAGTTTGTTCTACAGAATTGCAGCTGCAGCCTTGTGCGAAATTCTTCAACAGCTTCAAGTACGGCTTCTTTCGCCAGGTTGTGGTACTGATAACGGTCCTGATACCGTTTAATAAAATCACCAAGTCCGGGAGCTGACAACCAAAGTTGTGAATAAACAAAATAACCAGTATTTCGATTCTAACAGGGAAAGACCGTGTCTAAGGGTATCACTATGTTAAGCTATAGATTGTCTTTATTGACTCTATACCGAAGAGCTTTTGTGCCGGCACAAAAAGAAAGCATACTGGATAGGGCTTCTGGTCACGCAAAGAAGGGTGAAGCAAAGCTGAGACGCGCCGATCTCTAAACAGGAGTGTCACCTACTGGATAGGTGTTCATACTTGACCGGATAGCTTTTTGTGTCTGCACGAAAAGCTATCCAGTATAGTGTGAACTTAGCCTTAATTATTGCTGTTGTTCTCGTTGTGGCTGTTTGCTACTTCACCCTTCTCCACCCCTCTAAATTAGATTGCGTGACTTACAAACGGCTGCCTGCAATTCGAGATTTGAGCACCGGCATTTTTGTGTCATTCTGTTGTAGCAATCAGATGTAATCTCTGGTAACGTTTTCAGATACTATACATTCTAAGCAATGTTTAACAAATGACTGAGCTGTCGAAAAAGATGCAGTCGTAATGAAAATCCCCTGAAGTGGATCAAAGAATTGTATTTGTCCGGTGAATAAGTTGACAGTTGGCGCGGTGTACAATTACACGCGCGTTACAAGACAAAGATCAAACGTCTCGATAATCGGGCTAAAATGGCCTTTGGACTCGTCTTTTACAGCAGATTTTAAGGTATGAACATTTAAAACGGTTTCCCATCTGCTTGTTTTAATCTACTGTGGGTTTAGACAAGTGAAGGGACTAAATTTTGTCCGACTCGCAACTTCAAAGTTGACCGCGGAAGGTCAAATATCTGCATTTTAACAGATTTTGTAAAGCTCTCGCGTCGCTATTAATCATTTGCCCAACGAAATCTTTACAGGAATCTGTAGATCATCCTTCTAACATTCAACCACCAGCAGCTCAATCGATCTGAAGGTTTCGCACATGGTGAAAATTATGTTTTTTCACGCATTACTTTTACTGAAGTAAATTGTATGCCTTCGAAATTAAATTATCATTGGAAGCAAATTTGTTCTTTTCATTGGCCGAAAGCCCACCACGTGACCTGCAAATAACTGCCTACAAATAATGGTCTGCTCATGTGCAATGCCGTCCAACAGTGTTTGGCTGCAAATAATATTCTGCTCATGCGTAAAAGAAACCGTGCTTTTGTCCTTCTCGCGATCGCTCCTGCGTGAAAATTGCAGATTGCTTCGCATCCCAAAGATATTAAAAACAAACTCGGTGATCGAATGATAAAACAATTATTGAACTCTGTTATCGCAAAATATCGTGATTTGTCAGTGTCTCGCAGATCAATTATTTGCCTCAGCCTTCGGCTTCGGCAAATAATTGATCTGCTTGCCACAGACAAATCACGATATTTTGCTCAACCTCGTCCAATGATTGTTAAATATTTTGTATACAAAGAACAGAGCACACTCATTTTAACAGATATTTATATTAGAAGTCTGATTTTTACAGACAGGCGCTCTAAGCTTTCTAGAGTCCTCAGATGATACGTTGTGGAAGAGTGTCACAAATTCTTCAGAGGGCCCTTTGGCGGATCTCCTCCCACCCAGTAGAACAACATTGCTAAGGAATCGTGATCACTCCTATGTACTTCCTGAAATTAGGACTAAACGTTTTAAATGCTGTTTTATAAATAGGTTTCCTTTTAATTTTACTATTAAATTGTCAGTTGTAATTCGGAACGTTTGTTTTTGAAATCAATGAAGAGCTTATTTATTTATTCATTTAATAGCGCGGTGCGTTTTTCAAAAACATGCTTTGTGCGGATTATTTGACTGAAACAAAACATACAGAAGGAGACAGTTTTGGTAATGTGTTCGTCACATTAGGTTAAATTAGTGTCCAAAATCACCCCAAGGTCTTTAGTGGTGTGTTCTAGTACGGGTTCTCTTCCCATGAAAGTGATGCTGGGAGTGACCAATCTGGAATGCACTGGCCTGCTACCAAACACCATAACTTAAGTTTTGCTTGGATTCAAGGTTAAGGTTGTTGGAACACCATCGTCCTATTCTATGCAAGTAGTCTCTTAAGTCTGCAAAGGGGTTCACAATATCTTTCATTTTGAGGAATATAACCTGCCTAGTGTCGTCTACATAGCTCTGGACGCTGCATTTCTGAGGTGCTGAAGGAAGATCGATTAGTGTATATGCTAAATAAAAGTGGTCCGAGTATGCTTCCCCGCTAAACGCCACAGTTAATGGGTAAGCGCTCTGACGATGTTGAATGGATTCGAACCACTTGTCGTTTTTCATTAAGGTAGCTACAAAACCACTGGATAGCTGAGTTTGAGGCGCCTGCATCGTGCATTTTCAACATTAGAGTTTCGTGGTTGACACGGCCGTCGAAAGCCTTGCTCATGTCTAAGAACATTGCCGAAGTCAACATCTTTTGGTCTATCGCTATAAGAATAGTGTCAGTTGTTTCTATGACAGATGTTTCCGTCGAATGCCATTTTTGTTTTTGCCTCTTTGGTCTTTGTTAACCTATCATTTAATTGCAATGTGAATTGATTGTGTACGACCCTTTCACAAACTTTTGATGAAACCGATAAAAGCGAAATTAGTCTGTTGTTATTTGCTAATTCATGGTTTTCAGCTTGAGTGAGAGGTCTTACTTTCTTACTTTCCAAGTGGTGGGAGATTTGCATGTTTCAATAGAAGTGTTAATAATAGACGTGATTACTGAAAGAATCGGGGTAACGTAGTCTTTTAAAACACGAACAGAAACCTTGTCGATCCCTAGGGCTATGTTTGATTGCATCGATGATATTCTGCGTTCGATGTCAACACTGCCTATGGTATTCAAATGAAACTGATCACCCAAAAGGTTTTTTAGTTTTCTGTTAGTTCAATTTAACAAGGGATAAAGATTTTACGCATGTAGCTTATTATTTATTGACATAAAGAGAGTTACATAACGATATGAACGCTTACAGAGCCGTAAATGATCTCGTGTCAAATATTATACTCAACGTGGAATGTGGTGGAGTGCAGAATGACAGAAAGACGAAAATGGCGATGGTTGCATAGTAACGTAGACCTTACAAATCAAAAAAAGTTTTTATTTTTTCCCTAGGAAAAAAAAAGTGAAAGAAAAACGCTTAAGATGTTATTCCCTCTTAATCAGTAACACTTAAATGAATGAAAAAAAATGTAGCGTAAATCTAGTATACCAAGGAAACCTTTAATTTGCTTTTCAGGAATAACAAACCGAGACCAAAACAACAAAAATACATTATTCCTTTCAGCTACTGTTCCCGCGGCCTTACTTGAAGGTGCTTACAGAGTTCACCTGCATTGACCTCAGAAAACGCTGTCATGTAAACAAACTCCTGGCCTGAAGTTCTGATCACCGTTGTCAAAAACTTTCTGGGAAGTTGTAGGAGTAAAATTTTATAGTACCGTTAGATCAAACTTTTTCTATTGACAGTTCAAGAAAACTGAAGGTTAATGCGTACATGATGTGAAACTTAGTTTAAATTCCCAACGATTTGATGACGCGATTCAAATCCTGAAGTACTTGATATCATAAATACAGCTCTCCTGTATTCTTACTGACTATCATTTGTTTGTTTCCCGAGTGTGTAAAGTGGGACGTTTTACAACAACGTGAGATAGTATTGAAACGCTTAAATTTGAAAGGGATGGCCCAAAAGGATAATACGAGGCATGTCTGACTTACGGCAGGCCAATTTCAGTTACAGTGTAAATTAAAAGTATTCCCGTACTTATTTCAAACGTCGAACTTACGAATACCCTCCAATCTAGGTACTAAAATTCTTGAGTATCGTTTAGCATGGTGTTCTACAAGAGGGTAAAGTAATAACTTATCTTTTGGGAGTCTTATTTAAGTAAAATTAATCAACTCTAATTCAATTAACTTGCAACCTGATATGACTTGAAATCGGGACATCTTAAAAACATGGTGAATTGTCTTTTTCAGAAAAGCCGAGGATAAGGGTACCGTTGGCGGAGGTGCGAACTGTACCAGAGCATTATATCTGGTTTCTGCTGGAAGGTACCCCACCGATTAACTTGACTCTAATGAATACATCAACAGCTTTGAAGGGCGGTTTGGTCATAAAAGGATTCAAACTAAATCGTACGGGTACCTACCAGTACACTCTACTAGCAGAAAATGAAGAAGGAACTGATTCAAAAACTGTTGAAGTAACCGTCGTGGGTAAGGATCCAATTCTGTTAAATTTCATTTCAATGTAGATAATAATAGAGGGTTTACGAGCAACTCGCTCGCTGAGCGTAGAGGTACCTGATATCTGAGTTTACATCTTGGCGTTCTTTAATCTTTACAGCAGCTCATATGTCTTGTTTACAGCATCACTTAACGAATTCTGTTCGACAACTAACTGTAACTAATCTCAACTACTAACTAACTTGGGCTAAATACTGGCAACTTATATAAGTAAAACGTAGGTACGTTCAGGATTGCTGACCATGAGCGTTACAAACGCTTTTCCGAATGACTTAAACGAATTTTCTGTTGATAACCAAAGTGGAATAAACAAACCCATAAGAAAACCAATGAAAGCGTGACAGTTAAACCTACGAAGCTTTACCTTAAACTGAAACAGGAACTCTGGTGTAGGTAACAATCAAGGTCAGCGACGGTTCCAAAACGTGCCCACTTCAAGGACTGACACAAATTTAATAAATGACATTCATGTTGAAAAACTACTTTAAAAGGCAATAGAATTTAAAAACCTGTCGACACAAATACGGATTAACCTTGATCTATAAACTGATAATAACAAGACCCTAGTCACGATTGAAAAGTCAGGCACAAACACGAAATAAACTTAAAATAACCTAAAAAATACTTCACAACATTCCTCCCTCCTTAGAAGAGGCATCGTCCTCGATGCAATTAGACGTATATAAATGAAAAAGTAAGGAACAAACGTAACTAGCGGAAGAACACTAAGGAAAATTTGAAAAAGTACTGAGGAAATAATGTGAAATATCAAAACAACTATAAAATTACCACTAATATTAATCAAGAGTTCAACGTTAAATGTCCAAAGTAGATGAAAGTTCTTGAATCCTGAGTGCTTGAAAACAAATGCATGTTAGCGTTCTAGTGTGAACATCTTGAAAAAGTTTAGATTGGTAGACACAGATTCATCTTGTAGGGGAATAGACGACGATTCGTGCTGCAATTTATCTCGTCTTGTAAATTAGCGCTGTCTTCTGAGTTCATACTGAGGTTGTTTGAAGCAGACAATGCATATCTCGTGAAT